GTTTTTTCGGCAAATGCTTCTAGCTAAACAAATTAAGACTGGCCGTCAGAACTGTCAGGAAACACCTCCTTAAAATTTCGGCTTTTCAGCTTTCCTGGCTCCTGAGTTAGCAACTTACTGAAAAAAATTTGACGGGCCCGTACGTAGGTACCAGGCATACCCGATTTCTGAGTTTAAGCTCGTTCACTTACGTGGATGAGGGACAATCTCTTAAAACTGCAGTATTCTAGCTTTTCAGGTTCTCGAGTTAGTTACTTACTCGAGAAAAACTTTGGTGAGTCCATGCGTAGGTACCACGTAAACTCGAGGGCTAAGTCTGAGCTCAATGAGACTTAGGTAAATGGGGAATATCCTCTTAAAATTACAACCCTTTAGCTTTCCAGGTACTCGAGTTATCAACTTGCCCGAAAAAAACTTTGGCGGGACCGTACGTGGGCACCACGCTTACGTGGGGGATAGGTTTGAGTGCATTGACACTAAGCTGGACGGGGAACATCCCCTTAATATTTCAGCGATTTAGCTTCTCAGATCCCCGAGTTAAGAACATACCCGGAAAAAATTTTGGCAGGCCCGTATGCGAGTACCACGCTTACTCGGGAGCTGGGTTTGAGCTCATTAATACCTAGTTGAACGGGGAACATCCCCTTAAGATTTCAGCTTCTAGCATATCAGATCCCCGAGTTATGAACACACGCGGAAAAAATTTTGGAGGGCTCGTACGCGAACACACGCTTACCCGGGGGCTGCGTTTGAGCTCATTAGTACCTACTTGAACGAGGAATATTCCCTCAGAATTTCAGCTTTCTAGCTTTTTTGGTTCGCGAGTTAGCAGATGACTCGGGAAAAATTTTGGCGGGCCCGTACGCGGGTACCAGCTTACCCGGGGGTTGGGTTTGAGCTCATTAGTACCTACTCAGACGGGGAACATCCCCTTAAGATTTCAGCTTTCTAGCATCTCAGATCTCCGAGTTATGGACATACCCGGGAAAAACTTTGGCGGGCTTGTACGCGAGTATCACGCCTACCCGGGGGCTGGGTTTGAGCCCATTAGTACCTACTTGGACGGGGAACATCCCCTTAAGATTTCAGCTTTCTAGCTTTTCTGGTTCGCGAGTTAGCAGCTTGCCCGTAAAAAACTTTAGCGGGCTCTTACGTGGGCACCACGCGGGAAGGACCGCCTATTTTGGAGATGGGGGGCCCGTACGTGCATGTGGATTAAGTCCCCAAAGTTTCAGTCCTGTAGCTTTTGTAGGTCTCGAGATGAAAAATCGGTACAGAGGCCCTGCGCACACACAGACAACCTCTCGTCAATATGTGTTTTCCGCATTGCATAGCTGCAAAAAACGCATAAAAAGAGTTCCGGAATATCAACATTTACAATTTTTCTAGTTGAAGCGTTTGTTAGCGGACTAGTCTTAGTGGCAAGTAATTACTTCCAGGACAAAAAAGTCAGCTATTTGGTTCCTCCAACAGAAACTATCTCTCCTCGATTCATCCCAAATTGGCACGCCAGGCAGTCTGAAATATAATCAGCTTGCTCCTAAAAGACCCATCGAAGAAGCTACCACTGAAGTCTCGCTACTGGTGACTGTTGTTGAAAAAGTGCTACCACTCGAGTATCTCAGCTTTTAAGGCAGTTTGGATTTTCACTTATAAAATGTTTATTTCGGTGTGCCGTCCTATAAAATTTTTGAATTCGAGCATATCTTCTCCAAGAACTGGAGTTATTTCGCAAGTACTTAAAAACTGCGCAAGCTCAGATACAAGTTTGCTTTTTTTTTAAAAAAAAAAAAACTGAGCTACAGGATAAGAAACACTGACCGGAATCGATTTGCTCGTAATAAACCGTGAACCGAACGGAAGCAGCGTTGCTTGTTGTCAGACGCATGAAAACGCGATTGCCTTGCGAACGAAGTTCTTTTACAGGATGATCATTGCATATTTCCGAATCTCGGAAAAGACCACCGAAACCCGGCGACTGCTCATTCACTCCATTCCTGCTCAGTAACAATGGATTGCATTCATCACGATGAAAAACTACACAAAATCCAGCCAGCAGATTTTTCATCGTTGGCTTCCTGCGTGCGTAACATGCAGAAACAATGCCACAGGCTATTACACAGCAGAGAGCTCTCATAAAATTTTGTCATAATAATTATATTAAATGCTATATTGTGAACAGTTTGAGGTCATTGGTAAAGATGCGCTGAATTATAGTATACTCATCCTCAAAACGCATGCCCTACTGAACATTTAATAATGGACTAAAAAAGAATTTAAGTCACCAGTATTTTATTAGAAGGATGAATCACTTCAGTGGTTCGCACGTGAAGAGCGCAGCAACGTTGTGAAGTCGCGACGTTCATCTTTCTGTCTTTACTTGCACAATCCGTTCTCTACGAATTTGCAAACAGCACGAATTACACGCCTACGATCCCTTCTCACCAGAGCCAACCTCCATAGGAAATTCACAAATCATTACATGCTACGTTCTCCCGCATCCGCCACTCCTACACACAATCCACTGCAAGTCTGAGTACTGCTTGCAAGCTGTAGCGGTCCGACGAATTGTGAAAATAAGCACTGTACAGGCTGCTTTGATTGGATGCAAAACCTTTTGAAACTGAAATTCGACTCAAAAGATAAGTCTCAGGATACAAAAACTGGCTTCCGAGTTTTCAAACTGGGTAGAACCTACCCAAAACTAGACCTGGTTCATCTTTAACTGCACAAAGGAAATCGCCTAAACAAGAACAGTCTAAAGACCAAAAATGAGCCCTCCGAGCTAAGTTTAAAGGCACCACATTAGGTTCTACCAAGCCTCCCACGCGATGCTCCCCTTTATATCTTGAATCCTGCATACTTCTGGACGGGCGGTGCTCCGGTACGGTAAACTTAAACCTCTATTGAATCTCTGACTAGTTTCTACATACTGTAGTTAACTTATGCATTTTCAATGAAGCACCGAAAGATTATAAACGATGCGGTGAATGTACCTCAACATCAAAGTTCCTTCTTCACACGGAGCTGATATATTTTCGAATCGAAGAAATATCCGTTTAGGTGATTGAAGCTGAAAATTTTGAGAAATGCTCGGGTATGTATCTTAGGAATTCGTTTTCCGCAGCAATCACCAAGAAATAAAAACAATGACAACAATAATTTTTAAAGATTTTACCGCAATCTGGTAATCGCACTGCGCAAATTTCAGCACAGTTTCCGCACGGATTTCAATTGTACCGCTCGTTGCTGTGTACGTTCGATGACAGTCCTGCTGAATTTTACTATCTTTAACGAATACTAAACAAGCGGTAAAATCCGCTTTCAGAAAAGTGCTAATAACATTTGATAAGTTGAAATCGCCAAAAAAAGCTGGAAAAAAAAATCATGTTGCAAGTTTAGCAGAAAATATTGCTGATCTAAAAAACCCGTCCTCGGAGGAAAATGTTTGATTCGCATCAATTTTTTCTTTGCTGAGTTTTTTCAGGTTGGAAAGGCTTCCCGATTAGTTGGTCCAGCACAAACGTAACCAGACACCAGGACAGTAAGCACTTTTTCAAAATAAAGAGAAAACCATTTCCAAAATATTTTGATTGCAAAGGAATTTTTTGGCAATTTTTCTGGATGGAAACATTAGAATTATCATTACAGTGACATAATTTATGGCAAAATACTAGCCTGTACGTGAAAAGAGAAGGAAAGGACCGGGAGGAGAGAAGATGAAGGGGAGGGCAAAGAGAGAGAGAGAGAGGGAAAGGCGGAAGGAGAAAAAGGGGGGCGGCAATCTTTAAGACACAATAAAAATTTGCATTAAGAGAAATGTTGAAACTACACTCGTAAAACGGAAAGCGGATTCAAGCTAGAAAAGAAAAATACTGCAGAAATGATGCGGAATTAAGAAATGGCGGATTCATGCCAAAAATACTGTAAAACCAATTGAACACGCTAAATTATATTGGATTACTGGTTAAAAAATCAAATTTTGCACTAAATGTTAGGAAATTTGCCATATCCGAGGAAATATTAGAAAAAAATAGGAGGGCGGTGTCGAAGCAGAAGTGCATCGACGCGCAGTTGGATTACCAATACAACACAAATGAAAAGATATCTTGTAAAATAAACACATTCTTCATCTGCTGAAGAAACAAAAATACACCAAATGTCCCACGAAAAGACGGGATGGCAAGGCAAGCGTATCTATACACTTTGCTTTTAGCTACAGATATGTTATGAGAAAAGGAAAGCTACTACCTTAGCATCGACAGCTTGCCATTTCGCGACAAAACCAGCACCATTTACTGAGCGATCACTTTTGAAAACAACGGTGAGCCGGCTTCCTGTTGACAGCACTGGTGGAGGAAGAAGTGTGCCACAGAATCTAAAAAATTGTTTTGATAAGGAATCGGCTTCAGTTTAAAGAATTTTGGATCAGTCGAGTGGATAATGAAAGCACGTGCAAAAATAAGAGCAAAGAAGAGCATAAATCAGTGAATTCAGTAAGTTTTGGATAAGCCGAAACTTGCAAGCAAGCAGTGTACAAAGTAAAGAATGAATACCTTCCGTGTAGATCGCTGTGCTCCTCATCGTTGACATAGGTATCATAAATTTCAATACTATCGTACGAACAATCTTCGCGATTTGGTACAACTTCCAGCTCGAACACTTCGAACGTCAGTCGGATTCGTTTACTCTTCAAAGTGCATTTAATGGTACATTATTTGTTTTGAAGCAGAGTTTCAGTCAAAAGCGCTTTTGAATAAGTGGCGGCCGGACTTAGTGCAATCTTGCGCTTTGCGATTGCGAGCTCACAACAGACTGGATGCAATAAAGCATGTAGGAGCTATTTTGCATGCGACATTTTGATACGATTATCGTGTGAAAAGCATTGAAATTTAAAATTTACAGCTCGCTCCGACTTTATTCTGTACAGTTTGCATCTGAACGCGAAGTCACAGTTCAAGAGAGGCACCTAGATTTCACTTCGACTCACTGAAATCTCATTATGCTGCAGACTGTATCCAAAATTAGAACTTTTGGCTCATTCAATTTTAATAGCACAAAAATAGCACAGATACGGATACCTAATCTGGACCTAGCACCACAAGTCAAGATACAGTGAATTTGAAAGTTGAGTCTGGCAGTTTACACCATTATACCCAAATTCTCAGTTTCTAACCTGATCCGTCTTAAATTACAAAACAGCTTGAATCCGGGTACAAGGTCACGAGACCAGAAGACGGGGAACCTGAAAGCCGACTCGGAAATATGAAATTCGCTTTAGGTGGTGAAATGAATTCACAGAATTTTAATTTTGCAGTTCCGCTTTAGATTTATATAAATGGCAACGCGCACCAGGCTAGCCGGTGCGATCATGCGTTTTGTGCAATTCAGCCCAT